CATGGAAATTTACTCAGCAGATTCTTTTCTAAGTACAAGGGTAGCATCTTCAGTATAGACAGAAGACAACCCAATGGTTTCACGTCTTTGCCCTGTTTTCTGACATATTTTGGTTTTCTATCATTTTATGTACCAATCTGATGAAACTTCTGACATTTATTACTTACAAGAAGAAACTAAACATTTTTGGCATTCAACACAAGCATGGATTACAGGCTAAACATCTGTGGCCAGGCTTCCCCAGATGAAGCAATGTCTTTCCCAGTTTGGCTCTCTGAGCTGTTGTGCCCGACAGCTGGTCTTTAGTTTTGTAGAATTTAATCTTGAGGACGGCTGAAATACATGCCTCTTCCCAAGACTCCGAGTTATTCTGTAATAGTTCAGATAAATGATGGGAAAACCCCAAACTCTTGGATGGATAAGTACCAGGGATCTAGTCACTTTGTAAAATGTCTCCAGAGCTCTTCACCTTAAAAGGATCCTGAGAAATGAATGACATTTTGGGGACTTACTGTCACCACTTTAAAGAAATGTGTCTCTTAGTATCTTTCAGGATTTGATGTCAGGAACTGGTAAAGGCTATGGGAAATAAAATTACATTCACATCAAGGAAGAAAAACAGAAACTAACTTTTCAAAATGTGTTTATTTAATTTATTCGTTATGCCTGACCTGGTTTCTGGAGGCATGTGTGACCTTAATGTGAGCGCAATGGATTTGCTCCCAAACACAGCCTGCTGGGTATGTTCAGAGTGACCTGTCGACCCCACTGTTCTGGAAATAGCCTGCTTTGTGAGATGGGTCATGTTTCCCACTTTAAACAACTCAACAGATACCTGCATTTCATATTTTAAATGAGTGCGAAACAAATAGTGTAATGATGTGACTTCCACACACCAGGCACAGAGACTGCATTGCCAAGGCTTGTCACAAATGAGGTGCCTCAGATCCAGTCATGGTCTGCAGAGTCCCTTCCCTCAGCAACTCCAGACGGTTCCATTTGCTGTCTTATCATTAGAAGGGAGTCATAAAAACCCAAGACCCTGGCTGTAATCCTGGTCTTTCCATATTGCTTCTAACAACAAATAGCCCAGCAGGTTAAGCAAAGACAACCGACTCCCAACTCCCATGCATCTCTGTGCTTTGAAATCTGCTATCTTCTGGCCCCCAGCTGAGTTCATATCCCTCAGATTCTCCCAGTTGCAGCAATCTCCTTGACTTCACTGAGACAATGGCCTAAGGGACTAAAATACCCATGTTACTAGCCAGCCCCTTAGGAGGAGCACACTTTCTCATCAATAGTCACTTAAGTAAGGCTATGTATGGTGAACATCTAAAACGAGGTCTTTATATAAAACAAACATTCAATAAATAGTTGTTGAAGATCAATAAGTGAATGAAGTAATGAACCAATTGATCTAAAAATTGATGAGTTGATAAATGTTTATAAATTTTTGTATTTCTGGCCTAGAATGAAGTTTCCCAAGGTATATCTAATAAATCATAAGCCCTATTGAGACGGAATGGTATCACGATCTTTCTCTCTTGTACAGTTTCCCGAAGAGGCTCCACTTGAATGGACCCTCATTTAAAACGTAACTAATCGAATCAAATTATATGAATTATACAAGATTAAATTTTCCAGCTTTAATCATCCACACAATACCTTTTTAAGATAAAACCAAAGTAAAAAGCTCATCTGAAAAAAATTTTTTTCATGCACATTTCCTGGGATGAATAATTCAACTTTGCATCAGGTTACTGAGATTTTTCTAGAAATGTTATGATCTGTACCCCTTACCCTCTTATACCTGGACTTTTACCTGGAATTACCCTGTGATTTAGACTTTTTGCTAGATAAATGAGCTCATCCTAGGATGGAAAGTCTTATTCTAGAAAAATAAGAGTTCCTCTGTCCCCACTGACAGAAAAGGATTGCTTCAAGAGTCAAACCCTGATTCAGCTCTGACAGTCTACCATTCTCATCTTAAACACCCTTTTTCCTCAGTGATTCCGTAATTCTTTATACCATTATTAATTAGAACGTTGCTAGGAAGGGAAAGTGGCAAGTCTTTATGACTGTGGTTCCTACCACCCATTTGCTGTGTCCCTGGGAATTATATGCCCACTTTAAATAGAAAAAGATAAAGCAATTATTAGGAGGTTTCAAGGAGAACCCCCAACTCTAGCACATACTTTGATTCAAAGCATTTGGGACTCAAATGATTTCAGTGCCTGTTTCAGGGTTCCAGGTCAATTTCCAGGGGTAGGCCTGCCTCACAGACAGGTGGCCTCTGCTGTGCTGCTAGAAGCCAGCTACATGTCAGCACTGTGAAAACTCAATGTCCCTCAATGCCTGAAAAATTGGAGCATACAATTTTATACATATTAAGCAGAAAATATCTTCTGACCAAACTTTGCGGTATATATACCAACAGTCTCTCTAATACAGAAGAAAAATAGATTTTAATGGAGTCGAATGCTGGAAGAGTCTTTTGGTGTAGAGGTTACTGGCAAATTCAGCGGGAGCCTGGGAGCAGCCAGCAGAGCAGTCAGGGCGGCCGAGATCACTGTTAGGGACACTCTCCCCATGCTGGATGCCCAGGGAGCAGTAATGGCTTCTTGCTCTCCTGTGTGGCACTCATGAGAACTGGGTAGGGTACATTGTGTTCAGTGGTGAAATGAGACAAATGGCTGAGCTCATTTTTCTCATACACACATACACACAAAAGTCTTAGAAACATACAGGTGAGTCCCTTATTATCATTTTTTTAAAGTTCAAGCAGGGAGAGGAGAGGAGGGAGAGGGAGTGGTGTGCTCCCACTTAATGGGCACAATGTAAGGGCATGTGGCACACCTCTTGGGTACAGGACACAAGCACAAGAGAGACTTTACCTAACCAGTGCGAACACCGTAACCTAGTTGTGTGTACCCTCACATTAGCCTGAAATTAAAAAAAAAAAAAAGTTCAAGCAAATGATGCAACCTGAATGAATGAAATAGCTTGTCTGTCTATGTAGCTGATCTGCCACTTTCTTGCAGGTTTTGGGTGAATATAAATACATATTCTTTCCCTCCTTCCCAATGCCACATTATTGCTGGCAGGGAACTGTAAGATCAGAACGCATTGCTGTTGCCAGAGAGAATAATTTCAGCGAGCAACAGTCACACAGCAGCATAGACTGCTGACCACTTCCACGGTAAAAAACCAACAAGAAATGGGGGCAAATTCCAGGTGAACGACTTGCGATGGGGCAGTGAAGGGAAGAATTAGCCATTCTCTTCGGAGCCCACAATCCCAGTGATTATTTTGATATATACGTATATGTGTAAATGATAATTATAAATGCAATCGATGAGGCCCTGCTTTATTTCCTTTTAAATGCAGCAGTTGAGTACCGAGGGATAGAGAACCAGAATTCAAAGAGAAGAAAGATTTTCTGAGAACCAAGGACATTAACGATTGATGAACTGAACGACGCAGCGCCCCTGCCTTTCAGAAGTGAGCTCAGTTATCTTTCCTGTTTTTACGGAGGGAGGACAATAGGAGAGTTCCAAGACAAGGGGTTCCTTAAAAAGCTACATCCTGCTATCAGGTGGCAAAGAAATTTACAAAACAGAAACTGTTGCTAATTAAACACTCTGGATGAAATCATTCCGTTTTGTCTGAACTGGCCATGGAGGTAGAGAGTCTCTGAGATGCTGCTGGGAGCTAAAGGATCACGGACCATCATCATGTCTTCCCAACATGGATCATTTCATACACAGTGACCCAGTTTTACTGAGCACCGTTGTTGAATTACTGAAAGGGCTAACTGAAATTAAACTCGCTTTCCAAAGAACCATGGATTAATCAATCTTGAGAGAAGATAAGGTAATTCCTATTGATGAAATTACTTGCTCCCGGGCAATATGTTCTGCGTCTCCTTCTCTCCGTGTTTCCTTGTCAGGGCTATTTTCACCTATATTTGCAGAAATGCTCCTTCCACACTCGGGAGTGAGTAAAAGGGCCTCCCAGGCTTCACCCATTGAGGAAGGAAGATACAATTGCTAAAAGGGTCTTGACCATGGGGCTTGGCACTATTTTTGCTCACATGTTCAACACTTTCATATAAACCACCAAAAAAAAAAAAAAATCACTTTAAGCCTCATACCTAGATCCAGCCTCAGATTGAAGAACTTTATTTTCATTTTCACTTTTTTTAAGCTAAAATGTTATTGAAAACAAAATTTTCTCAGCTAGCTGCTTCGAAACAATATACTGTATTAGGAAGCTCGTACATTTTACATGTTTTTTGCAATCCTGACAGGACGGAAGAAGTCCCCCCAACTTTTTCCTTGGAATTTGACATTGAAACCACTGTCTTCCTTTTCCAGGCTCTCCTGCCTCAAGACCAGGCTGCTGGATGGAAGGAGCCGCGTGAAAAGTGCACGAGCGGTGAGCGTGGAAAACACGGCTACGGGAAGCCTCGGGGCCTGAAGGTGGCTCTCTGCGAAGGTCTGGCTTATGCTTTTGAGGTCCCCCGGGGCAGCCAGCGTCAGGCCGGGCCGAAAGGAGACAGCAGGAAGAAGGACTGTACAACGGGTCCCCATGAAACATGCTACAAAAAAAAGGTGCAACGAGAACCACGTCCCTGTGCATTCTTAGTCACAACTGTGGGCGGAAGAACCCCTGTGATCCCTCCCTTTGGTATTAAATAACAGTTTTTAAAAAGCTTTTTAGAAACAAAGCAAATACATGATGGGACTAGAAATGTCAGCCGTCCCAGGTTAGTTGTCCACTGAAATAAGTCTCATCCCTAGTCATAAATAAATAATCTCTTTCCTGGTCTGACTTCCACGCCAGGATCAATATCTCTTAACATCTTACTTATTTTATTACTGCTTTTGGTTTTCTGGGACTGATTGAAAGTTGCTCAGAGGAAATCTTTGGTTTTGCTTAAGTGTCCGTGACATTTAATCATGACTTTCCTTGCAGTTTAATTCCAACCAGTCAATCAGTTAATCCACTTCGATTGATTCTGGGCTCTCGGTGATCGGCTTGCACTCATTGGGCATCCGCTGGTGTCGGCTCAGCTGGGTGGCCTGCGTGAAGCTCCTCTCACACCTCTCGCACCTGGTGGAGGCAAGAGAGAAAATTGAGACCAGGAGCGGGGCCTGCAGGGTGACGGGCTTCCTCTCATCCTGCCTAATCAGAACAGACACTCCAAAGTGGCTTCAGATTTTACCGGCTCAAGAGGTTTAATTGGTGGCTCCTTCCAAGGCCTGGATGCCTGTGATGGGACAAAGCCCGTCTGATGCAGAACAGAGGGATCTGTCAATAGGCAGGGGGAAGGTGATTTCTCCAGAGAGCCCTGTCCTGCTGCAGCTCTGATCACTGTCAGTTCAAATAGATAAAGAACAAAAAGAGATTTTTAGGAGTGAGCCATCAAAGCAGCAGCTTGTCTGCAGTTTTCTGCTCTGCAACCCCAAAGAGAAATTGATGACAAATAGAATTTCACCTGCTGCTAATTTACAATCCGGGCTTCTAGTCCCTTCAGCACAGGGCCGAGGAGCCATCATCTTGGAATTTGGAAAGTAGAGGAAGCAGAACATTAGCCGGCAGCGACTCGGGGTGGGCGTGGTGGCAGCTTTTTTTTGGCAAAAGCTGGTTATAGTGTCAAAGCCTAACAATTTTCATCATTAGGGGATTGTGGTGGGGCAGGAGGCTCTGAAAGAACAGAAATCAACTGATAGTTGTGTGGTTTAAGAGGTTCACCTCTCTAGAAAGAACCGTAGAAATAATATATGTGTGGGCCATGGCTAAGGCCCAGTGTGAGGAGCAAACCGGTCTCATGCTTCAAAATCATCTCTTAACTTAAAACAGAACAAAAAGACTGCAATCTTGATACCCCAGGCCCATGTCATCTCCCATGTCCATCTCTCTCTCTCTGCCACACAACCTCACATAGTTCAATGGCTATTCAATCTACACAACACACACACACACACACACACACACATTCGAAAACTAGTGGGGGCCTGCAACTTTTCTTTGGTTGTCGTTCTGGGCTGATTGTGACTGTATGGGAACCACACACACACACTAACACACACAAAACACAGGAACTGTGGTAGCAAGCAGGGCACACAGTCACTCTGTCCACACTCACTCATCTGGGCTGCCTGGCGCATTGGTCCAGGACCTGGTAGGGCCCAGCAGCCCCCTCAGCCTCCTCTAACAGTCCTTTCCTTGAACCTCTGAAGGAAAAGACATTCAGAAGGAACTGCAGACACCTGTCCCTCTTTTGAACAATGAAACCTGCAACTATGTGGGCCCCTGCGCTATAGTAAGGCTACAGCCACCATGGGGAAGTCCACGCTGCCCTGTCACAGGTGAGGAAGCCATGAACCCTGTTATCTGGTGAGCATTCCTCTTTAGGAAATTATACAAAGTACCTTGTCATGGAAATAATTACCTACAAAAATAGATCGCATGCATCTGTCGCAGGTTTTTGAACACTGGGGACAGGAGTTTCACTTGACACTCGGACTTTTCAGGAATCTGGTACCCGCTGAGTGTGTGTCCAGAGGAAGAAGTCGTGTTTCCTTGATTGTCTTTCATGGAATATTTTTAGCAGCCTGTTCCACTGTTAAAAACTGCACTGTGATCTTGACAAATGCATAATGTCAGCTTTAATGTATCAGACCTATCAGCTCAATGAAAATAACTCAGAAGTATTGATCACCTAATGATTTTTGGTGTATTCATTAACGTCCAGGAGCAGCTCATCCCCTCTCCAGAGCTCCCGGGGTGCTGATGACACGTTAGCGAACTGCTGATTGTTTATTAGAAAACTGATTAGTTACTGGATTAGTGTGTCAAAATATACTACCTTTCACTGCTTGACAAACTTTCAAATTATTATATTCCTTTTTTTTTTTTTTATCTTGAAGCTCTAGAATCAATTTTAAGGATGGCAGAATAGCTGGAACAATTGAGAGGAATGACAATTTACCTGGGTCATGCTTTTGCATTTCTAAGCTTGTATCTTAGAATATGAGGAATTCATGAGCTGGAAGCTTAAGGCTTCGTATAAGGTAAAATGTACGTCTCTATGGAATGTTTAAATGTCCAGATCAGAGAGACACGTTACGAGGAGTGTGACATTTTTCTCAAGTGTTTGCCTGATAGTCAGGAAATTTGTTTGTTTTAACAGTCAGGATATTTGTCTAATATTTAGGGCCCAGGAGAAGATGATTCCTGAAAAATCATCTTTAAGCCCATCTGCTTAAAGTGTCAATAAAAATACATGCAGATGGGTAGGGATTATTTTCATTTAAATTCTTTCCCCCAGGATTTTTCCTTCTTGAGGATCACGCACTGCTGAAAATATCTACATGGTTTTAGAAATATAAGGACATAGTTTATATATTTGAGGAAGACAGCTAGATATAAAAATACCTTCTCAAATAAGGGAAATGCCTCAGTTTTATGTTCTTCATCTTAAACTTTAGGAAAATCCTCTCCACAAAATATTTTCATAGGTTCATGAAACTGAGCCGAAGAATCTAGGTCAGGAGATCAGAGCCAGGCTTTGCCTGGACTGGCACTTAATTAACCCCGGATTACAATTCCAGGCAAGTGACTGGACATAGGCATCTCTGAGTGTAGATTTTATAAAGTGTAATAGAGGAAGGAAGGAAAGAAACGGGTGACGAGCCAGGAAGAGAGAAATGCTCTTGCACACAGATCTTCCCAGGTGCTGACATCACAGCCTTGCGGGAACAACACGGGACTCTAAAGTGCCGTCTTGCAAAGACTTCAGCAAAGAGAAAGTCTCCAACGTTCTGTTAAGAGAGTCTTAGTTAGACTTGATTTCCTCCTAGGTTTGAGATCATGCTTTACTAGTGGTTGACTAGATAGTACATGCCAGGAGCTTAGCAAAATGATGTAAAATTCTGTCACACAGAAAACCTGTGGAAAGCTTTTAGTGCTTCTACGACATGTCCCAAAATACTTCTGAAAATGGACCAAACTGCACAGGGCTCAACCCAGATTTGCTCTTCGGATTTGTTTTGATTTCTGCCTAGATCTTGTTCAAATATTAGATGTCCTCTGGCATTTCCTTTGATTTTTAAATCCTGAGCCAAACTTCTTAGTCTTGGAAGGGAATACGCCGTGATGAATATTTCCCCCTGCTTCTAACGAGGAAGAAGCACGCCTCCTAAGGAAAGTCCTGGCCTGTTCCTGCAGTTTCTCGGACTCAGAAGCCAACAGCTCACACAGGTCTTCCCAGGCAGAGAGCAGAGGAGCCCACCTGGAATCTTGAGGGACTGTGTTTAGTAACAGAAGGAGAAAGGAGCGCTCACTAAAAAGAATGATTTTTTTTTTTTAATTTATTGTTGGGGATTCATTGAGGGTACAAGAAACCAGTTTTCACTGATTTACAAAGAATAGTTTTTTAGACTGCTTCCTTCTTTCCTCCTTCCCTCCCTCCCTCCTTCCTACCATAATGTACTCAGCTGCTGCCCTTCAGTGAAAGGATGTCTTGCTTTCACCCCTGATTCTCCATGACTTACAGTCTTCACAGAACAAACTGAAAGCCAAGACCTTCCATATAATCCTCTGATTTTTATTTTTCCTATGTGCTCCTTTACTCTAGAAATTCAAAGTCTATCCCCTGGGTTAGCTGCTGACAGGCTCACCTAGAACTTGGGGGGCTGCCTCTTTTGGTGGGATTTCAGCCAATCAGACTATGAGGCAAAGCCTGGAGACTCTTGACCTCCGAACGCCAATCTTGTCCGGCCTTCTCTGGACAGCAATAATCTTGATCTGCCTTCACAAACCTCTTCTCAGCAGATCTTCCCTCAGCAGAGGGAAAGAGCATTCCCCTGAGCTCTAGCTGTGGGGGACAATTTGGAGACGGAGCCATCTGGGGCATCTATTTGGAAGCCGCCCAAGACATACAGTTTAGGATGGCACATCTTTACAAGAGTCTTCTCCTTCTTAGTAACATTGTTTAAGCCAATACCCATTAGTTGAAGTAGTAAAATTAACTGTTGTGGTGAAACTTATTTTATTGACCAATCTGCAACGAAAGTTTTTTTTTTTTTTTGAATGTTTGTTTTATAAGCTTGTAAAAGGATATCTTCATAATATTTACAAAGGTCCAGGGGATGGTTATCCATGAGCTATGGTTGGAAGATCCCCAAAACTCCCTTGGGACAGATCAGTTCTGAAAGACCTGATTGTATACACTAAAGAATTTAGCTTTCCATTTCCTAGAAGACATTTAAATCTTGCACTTTCAAAATAAGTATACTTTCAGCTCTCCCCTAGAAATATATATTTGATAAATTTTTTAAATTTAAAAATCCATAGTGTATGGCTATCTTGGTAAGCGTGGGAACAGAGGGAACTAACGCAGACATGTACAAGCTAATCCAACAGCCCCGGTTGTTTCTTCTTTTTTTTTCCCCCCAGATGAAATTAGGTACGGTCACCAAAAAAAAAAAAAAAAAAAAACACCACTTTTTGAAAGGAAAAAAATGCAATCACCAAAGCCCTTCGAATATTAATCTGATAAAGTTAAAATGGCATCTCTATTGGAAATATGCCAAAAACAGAATGTTAAAGAAAAAGAATTGGGTGAAGTCAACGAGGTTACATATAAGTAACACCTTAACATTAATAGAAATCTATTTCCCATCTTGACCCAGAAACCTCTTCAATTAATTACTAAAATCTATTTACACAGCAACAAGATAAAAATCAATCTGATTCCTGGCACCGTATCCATCTGGCTGCCCTTTCTAATATAAAAGACCAAACAGATCCTAAACCAACCTGAACCTCAGCTTTTGAGAAGCTCAAAGGCTGGGCACTGTGCCACCGTCACCTTTCACCTCCAGAGCTGTGGTGACCCCCAAGGTGAGGCCTGAGGGTGATGACCAAGTCCACCAGGCAGGACACAGACACTGGTGGTGGGGAACCCCGAGGACACTGGTAGCCCATCTGGCCCCTAAGGCTGGATGAGGAAAAGATGCCCTCTGTGGGCTATGACAGCTTCAGGGGGTACAGCTTGGCGGCAGAGTGTGGCTCAGTTACAGACCCTGTGCTATCCCCTAAGCCAGATGCCCTTATGTAATGAACAAGCTGTGCCTATGTACACAGACAAAATCTATCACTATTTTCACTATAAATACCAGATATTAAACCATGATAGAGAACAGTAAAGAAGAATGAATAGAGGTAACCAATTCTTAGGGAAGATGACAGCATTTTATGAGCTCCTCCCATTGCTGGCAGACATCTGGGTAGCGAGATCAAGACTGCAGGACTCTGCTACCCCCCAGGCTAGCCTGGCCTCAGGCCGAGCACCAGAGTGGGCCACAACAGCAGGTCTGGAGGGGAAATTCTGGGCAACGGGGCTCTGGGAAGACTTCCTGGTTGACAATGAGTAAGGGGATTAGTCTCCCATGGCCCAAATCATTTCCTCTCTTGCTTGATCTTGGCCAATAGCAGGTAAATAAGGCCATACTTCTATGCCCTTTTAATTTTCCTTCTCCAATGTTTAAAGCCAGTATGGCAAATGAGTGAAGGGAGATGTAAGAGGGTTGGCCAGAAAAGACATCATCACACAGACAGTAAAAACTGCTCTGAGACCCCCCCAACCAGTCACATATGCTGCTTCCCACTCCCAGGCCTTTCCCTGTGCTGTCTGGACAGACAGAATGCCTCTTTCCCCTTGTGTGTCCAGAAAATGACTCATCCTTCAAACACATCTCAACCATCATCTCCCCAGATTAGCCCACTCCTGAGCTGCTCCAACCCCTGTGTGTACAAGTCTCATTGTACTTTTCACTCCATAATATTCACTAATTGGCCTTCCCTTTATGGGGCAGGGAAGAAAAGGCTAAGTTTCATTTCACAATGACCCTATTCCTAGCAGGATGCTTAGTACAGAAGTAGGCGCTCAACAGATACTGAATGAGTGAACACATATCCCCTTGGGTGAGCAAATGAATAAATGAATGAACGAATGAACAGGCCACCTTGCATGGTGCCGATGCCCACTGTTTTGATGGCTGTGCTAGATGCAGAAACACAGTCTCTCACTCAGATTCTCCTACCTTGCCAAAGCCCCTAGAATTTAGTTCTACCTCTTTCCACATTCCCCGAATCCTCAAAAAATTGATGCACCCTGTGTTCCATTTTGTTTTTCTTTTTTCACCAAGATGGCAACATCTCAGTTCCAAACTATAGGCTGAAAAGTCACAGGTGGGCTGCTATGATAGCTTCAAATTCTTAACACATAGGAAAAAGAATCCCAAAGGGTTCAAGTCTCCAAGAGAGAATTACTCAAATGTCCTAAACTTGCGGTCACCTTTATGATGGTCCTGGGGCTTGCTGATGGCTAGCAGAGCTCTGGGTGACTCCTAGATAGAATTCTAGAAGCACAGAATTTTTCCAGAAGCCTCAGGAACTGGAAAGAATATCAAAATTATTTACCCCTACCTCCTTATTTTAACGATGAGAAAACAGACCAGAAAATTCATCCCATGTCCAAGGTTGTGAAACTTGAGCCAGGACCAGTGTACAGGTTTCCTGATGTCATTTTCCAAATGTCACCCACTGAGCAAGGGGATTCTTTTGCAGCCTGCACAGTGAGCTTCTAAGAAGCCTCTCCACCAGCTGGCTGAGCTGGGCAGTGCTGTGCCAAAGCGCTAGCCGGCTCTCGAGAAAGGCTAAGAGAAAGAGGGTGGAGGGCTGGCCGCTACTTACTTGAAGGGCTTTTCTCCAGTGTGGGTTCGGATGTGGTTGTTGAGGGTGGTGGCCCCAGCAAAGGCACGACCACAGTAGCCGCACTTGAAAGGCCGGTCACTGGAGTGAGTGACCACGTGGTTCCTCAGTTCTGAAGGTTGGGAAAAGGACTGGGAGCAGTGACCGCATTGGTAGGGTCTGAAACAAATAAAGAGACTGCCTGGTCATTATTTTCTGCGTTGTCAGTGGAAGCCAGAATCATGAGACAAGGGGCCAGAACTTTTTGGTGACATTTTCTCAGTTTTTAAGACTGAGCATAGAGCTTTGGCCACTGGGTTCCCACTACTTTACTTGCCATAGGAAGAAAATTTACAGAGCTCCTGAGAGCCACCAATCCTGGCTGGCAGGAATCACACCGGCTCAGGAGCCCTGCTTTCTTATTCCCTCTCTCCCCTCAGCATCCCTTCCCCCGCACTGGAAGTGAAGACTTGATTAATCAGAACGTGATAAGAAAAAAGACATAATTGTCTCTTATACGTCCATGGCCCTTTTAACTTTTCAAAGTGCTTTAAAATAAATTATCTAGTTTCACCTTTTCAATAGTCCTCTGGGACAGGGAAAACAGTTGCTATTATCTCTGTCAGTTCAGAAAACTGAGGATAAATTGTCCTCACAGGACATAAACTCTTCATGCTAAGGTCATGCTAGGGTGTCTGGACCTTATTCTAAGTACCAGGTAAACATCAGACAAGTGAGCAAGTTACAAGTGTATTTTAATAAACACTAAAGCATCCTGGAGTCTGTGTGTAGCACAAGCCCTGGTCTTGCCCCGATAAACACAGACATGCACCCAGATGGGTCGCTTTGTAAAAGAAATCCTGCCTTCTACTTACTAGTCCCCGCTCCAGACATTCCTCTATCGGGTCTTTTTCTTGACCCTCAGCTCCCTAATTTAATCAGGGAGCAAGGAATGATTTACAGCAGCACAGAAATGACGGGATGTCACTACGCTTGCAGAAGGATGCCGGTGATGCAAAAGTAAATGGAAGGAAGTGGTGACAAATACCTGATAATTAGCAAGATTATCAGGGCACATTCTTTCCAGCTCATGAGAAGTCAATCAATTTTTGGTTTTCATAAAGAAGATTAAAATTCTGTCTTCTCCATGGAAGTTCTTCTGCTTACTTCAGCAGAATCTGGTGAGTGATATAAAACCCGGGGAGTTTTCCCTATTCGAAGCTATTTCATATCATCCCTTGACAGGGCTCTAATTTGTTTATCAAAAATTTTCTTCAGACAATTACTAATCTGTCATGAGAGATATTAACAGCATTCACTAAACCCTGGTTGGTGGGCCAGATGTTTCTGGTTGCATTTAGAAACCAATGGGGGAAAAAAAACCCCAGGCTTAATTGCTCAACCTTTAACAAATGTATAAGCTCTAATGACCAGACACTAAAATCAAGGGCCAGGAGACAATAGTGACTGAGCAAGTACAACAATTCAATTAAGTGCAAAATAAAGTGTACCCTCTCATTTGTCAAGCGAACTGCTTAATTGTGGCTACTTGCCTCACTGAACACAAATACTATTATTTTATCAGGCTTCAGTACACTGAGTTCTGATTGTAGAATTTTTTAGCTTGATTAATAGTCCTGGATTGGTCAATAACTCAATACTATACAATTTTAATTACTTACATTTAGAAATCTATCTAACTGCTCTCAAACAAGTTTTAAAGAAATACATAAAAGTCTTTGGTAAGGAGTTTATCAATCTTGACAAATTACACGTGCATTTTATTACAATTATAAAAGAATGCTTTAAAAGCCATTAAAATTTTATGTAGATGAAAACGTCCTCCTGCCAAATCTGTTCTTCGTAGTAAACGTTAAGCTTAAAGCATTCTTTGAAAAATAATTCTCTTGAGGGTGAGTTTTAAAAAATGTTATTGAAGATTATAAACAAAATAATATATTAATATATGCTATCTCCACTGACAATCGATTTTTCTAATAGTGAAGGGACCATTAACATTTATTAGCCTCTGGTTATCTATTTTTAATAGCTATCACAATAAACAATAACCTATTTAATAAAACCAATTAATCTTCTCTTTTTTTTTCTAACTCTCCCGTCAAAAGTTGGGGTGATTTATTTCTTACAGTCAGAAGTCAATCCAGCCTTTTTATGTTAATAGTCACAATGGCAAAGATTTATGCACAGAAGATCAGAAATGACCACAGAGAGGCTCATGTTGAATTCTTACGCCAAGGTAACAGCAAAGAAAGGAAAATCGGATTCTAAAACATCACGCTTGCCCAGCCCCAGCCTGGGAGCCAAGTGCTGGGGACCCAGTGACCTACGTGGCATAGTTTTTAAAACTTTGCAGAATGAAAGAGATTCAAACAGGAGAGATAGGAGAGGTGAATCCTGCTTCAGCCTCTGACCCTGATCAGCTGTGGGACTTGGAGAAGCCACTAATCTTCCCTGAACTCTGTCCTCTCATCTGTCCGATCAGGGGAATGGCCTGAGCAAGATATTCTTTGGCATCTCATTGTGCTTTGTTTTTGCTTTCAGGAAGTCACTGGCAAATGTCCACTGTCCCAAAATCTGTCCAGCACACGGCCTCTCAAGAGACAGCATCACCAAAGTGATCTCAACCTTCCATGATGTGTACTAGCCAGATCCCTGTACGTGGAGCTTTCTGTGGTTGTGTGTGTACATGTTCAAGAGAATATGGAAAATTTAAATATACCATAAAAGGTTGAGAATTCAGACCAACAAGAAAATCTCGTACCAAAATGTAGGCCCAAACCTTATTTTAGTTAACCTCATAAAGCAAAGTGGATTTTCCTTCATTCTTAGGTACCTCCAAAAATAAGATTTTAGGCCATCTAGTCATCTTTGTGGAGGTTAAATTTATGCAGAATTTAGAGCTAAAGTATGTACCTCACCTGCCACAATGGTACCAGAGTGTTTCTCTCAGCCTAGAAATTAATAGGAAGTTATCCCTCAGAGAGCACAGAAGCTACACCACAAGTGATGAGGTTGAAACTCTCTTTTCCTGTATTTTCCATATTTCCTTTTAAAAACTGACAAAAGGAAATGATCCAAAAGTCATTTTAAAATTGATTGTGTGCCTAGAGTTTCATCTAAGGACAAAGGAATGCATTCAAGACAGAATTCGATCTTCAAGTCCAAGAGCAGAGCTTAGAAAGCATTATCACCACTTTGGAATCTCGGGCATCACACCTTCCTTTGGAACAAGCAGGCACAGAATTTCAGACCATGCGAGCATATTTCATTCAACACCCTCAAACTCCACACCTCTCAATTTACAGCTGAAGGGCCTCTGGGGCACACAATGAGTTGTCATTATTCAGCTTTTTCTTCTGCAATCAACGTTCCCATTAATTTTTCAAGGGGTCTTGCGGAAAGGTAAAACTTCATTTATTAAACTTTTGGATACAATTCATTTTTACTCCAAGGTTTCTGCCTTTTTTGGATGTGTCACGTCGGAAGGAACTCATAAGGACTGACATCCACGAGTGCTGTGTTTACCCTCACTTTTTACAGGAGCTCACGTCACCGGCAACTAAATGGTCATCTCCTTCCTAAAGCACGTGCTTCTACCCAAATCATCACAGACATACAGCATTTCACTCTTCTCAAAGCAAAAGCAATGAGCATTTCTCACAAAGGGATAACACCTCACAACCACACGCATCTGAGGGCTCTCTTTCAACCATCAGAGACTGCTAACAGCGCTGTCTAACGATGGTGCTGTTCTGTAGCTGAGCTAGCCAACATGGTGGGGGCCACTGGCCATGGGCTGCCATCGAGCACTGGAAATGTGGCAAGAGCACCCGAGAAAGTGAAGTCTGATTTGACTTCATTTTGATTAATTTAGATTTAAATAACTTCACGTGGTTAGTGCCAACACAGACATACCTGGTTTCATGGAAAAACTATTCCTCAACAAAGAAATAAGTGAACAACAAAGTCTGGGTCAATTGGGGAAGTGTATATCAGTCCTGGTAAATTTTCAAGCAGAAAGAAGGCAGAGAGGCAATTTTGTACATCCCTTGGCATTCTCTGTCCCTGGCAGTTCCTCTGCCAAAGATTACTCCAGTAAAATGTGCAATTCATTTGCTATGAATCTGTAACTAGTTTGGTGTAAACATAGGAAAAGGATGAAACATTTAACAAAATTAAGTGTGGTTTGGTTTTACATTATTAATCCTTCTTTGATTTTTCTTTCATGGCCTCCAGGAGGAAGGTTGTTCAGTTGGGGCCACATTCTGGCCTTGCTCTAAGTCAGCCAGCCCAAGTACAAATCTCCCAAGACTTCAAAGGGAGACTCCTCAGGTCGATACTGGCTGCGTGGAGGGAGAAAAGAACTTAGCTCTGGGTAAGGAGAAAAACACTTCAGGACAGTGACAAAAGTGCATAACCAAAGGGCCTGGAGAACATCAAAGCTAAAAAGGAGATAACCTTCACACTTGGGGGGAGGGGGAGAAATATCAGAACACAAGAACACTGATGCATTCTAAGAAACTACTGTGGTGATGGACTATCTCCAGGCTCTTTCCACAAACAGCACCTTATTAAAGTCACTTTACCCTCTGGTCCCACCACATCCCACTAAAAACACATATGCAAACTGACATGTGCCCAGGATTCTGAAGGAAGACTTTCCCTACGTGGCACAAACAGTCAAAAAGGAGATAGGAGAAGGAAAAAGATGCAAAATAAAGACAAGCTCCATAAAGACACTTTCTGCAGAAAATATAAGAAAACGTACTCATCAGCCTCCCACTGTGATCAAGGAGCCCTTTCTGGAGCCCTCCCTGCAATGCCCACCTCTCCCAGCAGGAGTGCTAAAGAGTTTCTGCAGCAGAAAACAGAAGAGAAAAAGGATTTCTAACTCCTCCTTCAAACCAGTTTATCAAGCTGCCCTGGCCTAAGCAATCAGCTTATGCAAAAACCGAAGTCTCTTACCTTCCTCCTCTATTTCAGGGCATAGACTTTTGATGATACCGTACATGAAAGAGCTCATGAATGTAGACAAAGTCTCTTTGATAAAGGTGCAAATATCTAGGATTTCATGGTTAAAGAGTCAACTCAATGGATGAAAAATCCTTTGCACCTCAGGTTCAGGGACCCGTTTCAATTTGGACTGTTTGAAACTTGAA